AATTAATTTTAATCAATATGTCCTCTATATATCCGTATATATATTACAATATGAACGTTATAATACGTTTTAAAGCACCATTAACTCTTGTTAGTTTATGCGTTTTGTAGTCATTCCATACACTTACATTAAATATGTGTTTTGTTAAGTTTGATTTCAATTTAATTAATATTTATACAACTAAATAAGTTTTCAAAGCAATATTCCAGACATTCTGTGCCAATGCAAGATTACTGCAATATTCCGCATATTTATACAGCAATCCGAAATGAAAAACTTATACTGCATAACTAAAGCAAAGACACAAGCCAACAACATACGACTATTAGAGGCTGAAAGCTGGAAGCTGGAGGCTGGAGGCAGCAGGATAACTTACAAAACGCATAAGCACTTTGTTACTAAAATATGTAAATATGCGGCACAATATGCACTTTGCATGTAAATAAGAGGATATGAATTTGTAGTGTATTTGCATTACTAACAAACCAAACATGATTCCAAGTCAAGCCATGCCACATATGCGCGGGTACATATACCGAACAAGCAACACCAGTATCAGAGTATCAGAGTATCACAGTACCAGAGTGTCGTAGTAGTGGCATAGTACCAAAATGAAATCATTATCAATTTACGCTAGAATATGTGCAATGTCCTTTTCCTACTCCATGCGCTGATTACACTTGGGTCCCCGTTGTATCGTTTGCTATGTGAAGTTTTCAAATTAGCAATTAACTTGCACTGTTCGCATAATGCAAATTTCATAAATGTTCTCTATTTATACGTGGCAGTATCAAAGAAAGCTCATTTAAAGAGTTCATTTAATAAAAATTTTACTCACTTTTTAAATTTGAAATCATTTCTATTGTGCCTCTATAGTAGAGCACATAGAACACACTTGACCCTATCCACCTGCGATATAGTAGGTGCTTCGGAGTACTTTGTCCTCTTAGCAAGTACCTCAATGTCAAAAGCTAACACTTGGTACAACAAGCCTTCATATATATATATATATATATATGGATACTATATACATATATGCAGAAGAGATTGTATGATTGTATGGGGTGCATGTATATAGTACATGACTATGACGCACAAGCACAACATTTGCCACATAACAAGGACTTAATGTCAATGGAGGCTGACACATACTTCAGCCTGAAATGAAAATCAATTTTGACACTTTTTTTCAGCTGCAAAGAATCACTAAAGTGAATGTATAATGAGTGCAGAAAAAGAATTCAACATACAAAAAGAAAGGATAGGATATTAAATGTATGAGAATTGCTAAAAAATGTCATAAACATACACGCAACGCAACAACATTCGAAGTGCTGAATGTTGCTGTATGCTTTTAATTTTAATTGGCAGAGCTGCCACATGTCAAATATTAAAGAAAGCAATATTTGTCCACATGTAAGTACACACAAATCTGAATAAATGAAATGTAAAAATGTGACATCAAAAACTGTATATTTACAACACACACAGTAAGTCACAGTGACAGTCACAGTCACAGTCACAGTCATTCACTTGCAGTGCAAATATTTTCAATATTCAATTTAAAAAGTGTCAATACGCAATTTGAATGCCTGCATTCAGGTGCATACACACTGCTCTGCAGGAAGGCTGCCACATGCTGCAAAATATCAATATTCCACATGCGACACATATTAAAATATCGAGCATGGCAACAAGGCAACAAGGCGACGAGGTAACTGCAAAAATGAATACGAAATCAAATAATTTAAAATAACATTAAATAAAATATAAATAAAATAAAACAATATATCAATAAAATAAAATATTTAAAATAAAGTAGAAATAAAATAAAATAAATGCTAACAACAGCAAAGTACAGTGAAGCAGTAAGGCATTAAAATACTCGTAGTAATGCTGAATGCAAGTGCTTTTGACACAATGCAGCCAATATTGAAGTTGTAAGAGTCTCGATCCAATGTGGAGCGTGCCGTGCGGATGTGGCAGGAGCGTTCCGCTCCAGACTGCAACACATGCAAATTCGACTAATATGCAAGACCATAAAAACTATTTTTGATAGCATAAACATTCCATAATTTTAATTATTTATGCAGCAAATAAATATTTGACAAAAGTCAGCAATTTATGGCATTTCATATGAGTTGGCCTGGCCCAGTTAGTGGCAATGTGCAACCACACAAAAATGATTCAGCAATTATTTAATAATGTAAAATTTATTTTATTTAAGTTAAATAATTTTGTAAATATGCAAAATATAGTATAATAATTTAATTACTAAATTTAATTTATAAATTAAATTTAAAGTGGTACACAGTGGTTGACCTCAATATGGTCGAAATTTTATTGCAGTTTTTGCTTAGTTAGTTAAAGGAAAATTCCTAATTGCCATAAAAAAGACTTAACAAATATTAAACTAAATTGGTCAAAAATCTAAATAACTCATAGATAAAATAATTTTCGTATTAAACTTGATGAGACTAAATTCATTTTGAATTCAACAAAGCAGCAAAAATATATTTTGATTTCTATTAAATAGGAATAGCTTTAAGAAGGAATTACAGAAAGGATTTATTTTGAAAAATCTTTTGTTTTAACTATTAGGGACGTGTGCGAGTTCGAGTAAATTGATGGTAAAGTGATGGAAATAGTAAATTATGTCGGTATGGCAGCGAATGTTGGTATTTGCTAGAATTTCGAGTAGGATTACCATTGTAAATATTTTATAAGATATTTAATAAATAAGTAAATTTGAAAACTTTTAACCAAAAATAAGAAATAAGTGCCATAAATAAATATTTACTTAAGTGCAGTGCAAAAAATCATTTGGAAATTTAATTTAGAAAAAGGTTTGAAAATTGTTGGGTTATTGGAATTATATTCTTTGAAAATGTGTCCTATTTTTAATATTTTTGAGTTATCCGACACTACTTCGTGAGAAGTCAGCTTTTTAGTTCGACAACAGTTTATGATATCAAGCAGAATGGAAATCTGTTGGACATTGTTTACTTCACTTAAGATATGTGCGGTGATGAAATACTGAACTCAAACTTTTTGAATGATTTGATAGAAGCTTCTCCGTGAAAAGATAAACGTTGTTTTATAAAGTTGTTATATTCCTTACCGTCGAAAGTACTAATGTGGTCAGTGTAAAGTTTTTAAGTATAGGAATATATAAGTTAAGCCCCCCACTGAAATTAATTTATACTCATACCTAACCAATGTACTGACTTCAAATTTCAGGCAAACTATCTTCTAAAAAGAAAATCAAAAGAATCTTAGTATAATAACGTATTATTCTTCTATCAGGAATTAAATTCAAATTTACTGCCATGTCGTTTATATATTTTTTTGAAGATATAATACTTAAATACTTCTATTGTAAGGTATGGCTTTCATATTCAGACCTTATGGATATATTTTCGTATTTGTTAGTCTTAAGTTCGTTTAATACTTTTAAATAGATTTTTTGTTTTAAATTATTAAAACTTGTTATTTATTATTACAGTCTTTTTTTTAAATATCCTATTCTACTGAATGTTTTATTTATTTTATAACGAAATAGGTTTTTTAAACAGAACTAATTCCTTTCAGTTGAATTATTTTTGATTTCAAAATGAACAATTTATTGGTATTATACTGGCTAGTTATTCTAATTACGAATTTGGTTTATTTAATCAGCTAATTGGAAATTCAACAAAATTTGTTTGCAGGATACGCATTATCCTTTTCCAAATCTCTAAATAATTATTAAAATATTTATGTGGTGATAATTTGGCTATTGCAGCGTGAACGTGCACATGTCGAACCTCGCATAACACAAATATTTGGAACTCAGGTCATGTAAATTATAAATGATATTCGGTTGTGTAAACATTGTGTACATCAGCAGAAAAATGTTAGTAAAAGTGCGGTAATTTAAGAAGCTGAAATTGATTAAATTTTTAAAATTTAGTACTATATTTATATTTAGATTTTGAATAAATTAATTTTGGATAATTAATTTTATATGAATAAATGGCTTATTTTTCGACTTAAGTTCAATTGTCTAAACATAGCATACATTTATTTGAATTGTTTCAATAAAAATTTTTAAGTAATTTAAAATCTCAAAATTATTTGTTGGACGGTTAATATACATATTAAAGTTCCATGATGACAGGCTTTTACCCAGAGAGCTTATATAGCATCACTTCGAGGTCGTAATAAAGCCTATGATGCACTTAATTAATAAGCGCTGTAGGAACACAATTGTTAAGAACACAATTGTTTAAGGAAATCATTTACAGTAGAAGTTTTCTATTGTTTTTTCCTTACTTACTCTTAATACTTCAACAATAGTCATGAGAAGAAACTCCTAACCTTAGAGCAGGACAAGTAAATAGTCAGTAACTACCATATTGTACATTGTTATTAGTATGACTTTTATATCTAATCTTAATATCTTAACAGCATATATCTTAGATAATATCTCCGATTCATAGTTAGTGATTGTAGCAACGTCTTCGAAATTGTAAGTATTTGTTAATCGGTGTTTAAGGAATATAGTGCAAATATGGCCTAGAATAATAACGAATAAGGAATTGTGAAGATGAAGCAATAAAAATACCTTTGCAACTAAAATCAAAAAGCGAAAGTATGGTAAGATAGGTCATACATTATGTAAACCTTATGAAAAAATCCCACACGCAGGAATGAATTGGAATCCACAAGGGCATTGACGGAGAGGTAGACCTGCAGCAACTTGAAAGCGAAAAATACAGACAGAAACTGGCAATCAATTAATGAGTTACGATATGCTGCACAAAATAGAGATAGTTGGAAAAACTTTGTTGTATCCTTAAGCTTCTAAATAGTGTGTGGAAATTAATTTAATAATAATATCTAAGAGT